TCTGGTGCATTTTATCCACAAAATATTATCCTACCAAAGTTCAGAATTAAAGCCTTCTTCCGTGCAATATACCATAACATCAAACAAAATTTTGTCGACCACATCATAATTACGTTTTTGGTACATTTCATTCCCTAAATTTCAATCACTAGTTAAAACAGGACCAAATCCGCTCAGCTCATTGACATATGGTAATCGGTATATGACTTGTTGTGTCTAGGATCAATACAATATCATCTCCACAGAGTGACGCATGGTCTACAGCCAGTAAATCAAATTTATCTTTTTTTACCACTTCCTCGTTACATCGTACATCACGCTGTCTGTCTGTGCTCCCAACCGGTTTGTACGAGACATCATATAAGACTTAAGGTAGCCAGTTTTAAAATAATTATGGGCTATAAAATATAACCTCTTTGAAATGCCCCTAAGTTCCTGGATATAGTTCGACCGCTCAAAGTATCCTTCATGTTCACTGACAATTTCAACGATACAAAGTAATGCTGAAAAATCCTATGTCACCCTTTACTTATCTCAGCACGTAAAACTTCTTTCAATATACGCCAGAAAACATGCGGCCGACCCACCATCGTAATCAAATTTCTTAAAGCAAATCATACGTGCAAAAATATTGTTTTTCTTTTAATAATTTCTCTTAGTTTAAAACAAAAGCAACAACAGAAATTATTGACGCCACTTTTTTGTGTTCCTGCCTGCCAAAACTCACTGCATATCTTGCGTCTTGTCTGCTGTTGCCTGCTGTTATATGACTTTTCGAACTGATGTCGTCTCCAGAGCCGTCTCCAGGTTTTCGTTATAGTTTTTTTTGCTTTACGTTGCTCATTTCGGTTTTGTCGCCTTGTCTCGTCCGTCTCCCCTGGCTCAGCTGTTATGCGCTGTGTTAACTTTATCTTGTATACGGAGGATTTAATCCTTAATATTTGGTATCAACTGATAATAGGTAGACGATGTGTGACTTATACGTACACGAATTTTAAGGAAAGAAAGAAGCCTTATGGCTCTGCTTGATCACATCCAATATTCAATGTCGGCCCAAATGACCGGGCATTCTCCCTCGACTGTGGCGGTTTTGCTGTGGATGTCGCCGTTATGGGTTGTTATGGTTGGTGACTTTTCTGTTAATGCGAAATTAATACAAGTGATTGCACCCACCCCAAACGAAGTTGTTGGCATTGTTGTTGTTGTCGTCACCGTTAAAAGTGACCCTTCTGTGGCAAATTTCCCTAAAATATCTACTTGTATTAATACGTACCAATATGGGATGTTGTTGGCTGTCGTCGTTTTGGCCATGATTCCGTAAAGACCAGCAGTTTTGAATGTGTCCTCAGTCTGTGATTAAATAGGTGAAATTAATTACTGATGACAGTTGCTTGTTGTGGCGCCCAATCAAGTGTTTAGGTAGAAAAAAAATTGAAAACATAATAATTAAGCCATGTATCCTAGAAAGGCTTAAGAACGGTTAAATTTGTTATATTTCATATCTTTCCTTTTTTGGCAGCATATTATGTTGAAGGTCCCAAACAGTTTAAAGAAACGAAATGTGTGTTTCTTTGTTCGGTAATAGTTTAACCCATTAGTGACCAGAGTTGAAGACAATTTTCGATTAATGTCATAAGTATTGTCACAGCGATGCCTATTTTTGGTGCGTAGCAAATTGAGGTAGAGCATTATCATAACACCAGGGTACTCTGTCTGATTATTACATTCAGGTGCATTTGAAAGCAATGTGGGGATTGATTGCATGGGTTAACTTAAAAGGTAGAAAGTACATAAGTAATTGGTGGTACAATAAGCGAATCATTTGTTCGATAACCTAAAAGTGCAGTAAGTGAGAGCAAGTGAATACGGCAATTTTGACAGTTGATTTATGAAGAGTTTGCAAATTCTCACTGGGAAAATGTTCTCAGTATGAATTATCAACTTCTTTATGACCACAGTGAAAATGATTAAAGTGTGTGTCTATTTGAATATTTTTAGATGAAAACCATTTAACATTTCATTAAACGATTATAGAAACAATTTTTCTCCCCCAAGTATCAATTTTGATTAAATTTCTCAAAAGTTCGATAACTTTTGCTATATTTATGTGAGAAAAAAAATTCTCTTAGGCCAAGTTATTACTGTATAACTACTGGGAAACTTATCATATACACTTTATTATTTCAATTTTTCGATAGCAATTTTCAAGGGCTGATGCTAACCAGTATTTTTGTGATTTTACTCTGCTTTGACGTAAAAAGAAATCCTAAAGGGTTAAAAATATTTTCCATAAATTCTCAGAAGACTGTTTCCCAAATTTCGTAGAAGTTTTAAAGGAAGTCTTTGCTGTTGATTGATTTTTAATATTCCTGCAAATACTCTCTCATATTTAAAGGTTTGTAAACGTACACAAGAGCAGACCGTAGGAGAAATTAGCAAACAATGTTGGTAAGGGCTGACATTGATTGAGATTAGAGTAATGCATGCCCTTGCAGAAATTCATTGGACTTTAAGATATATTTATTGAATTAAGTTTTTATACGAAACAACTTTAAATGGCCATAAAACAACAAACACCTCAATAATCGGTGAAGTATGAGCAAATAAATCCCGCCCATTTGTAAACATTTCTTTGTTCTTTGTTATACCGAAGCAACGCCACCGATATGTTGCTGTGGTGAAAGCAACAACAATTTGAGAAAGAACACACAAAAGAAATGTGAAAAATCTGAGAAAATTGCGAAAATAGTCAATACACAACTCTTGGATGTGCTGGGCATTCATTTGAGTAATTTAACAGAATACTCTCAATGTCAACATGTCATTCTCATTTCGTAAGCTATTCGCGGAGATGCCATATAATTTCGATGTGAGATGAGCCTAAAAATACCCGAACTAGAAATTAATTATGTATCGGAAATGGATCCGAATCTAAACCGAATCCCAACAGAATCAATTGGACGGAATTGTAAACAATTTTTATTTTGAGCACAATATAAAGAACACGAACTGTACTTAAATAATAAGAGCATATATAACGTCTGTATGACGTGCAGAATAAAGATCAATTTTCAAATGAAATTATGCAATTTTGGATGGACCCATCTTTTTGCTGGAATAGTTTCTCAATTTTTTATTTGTCCGATGCAGAGATTATCAATATTAATAAAAGAGTAAAGTACTTGACTGACTGATTGACTTAATGATTCATCAACGCCCAGACAAAAAGGCTGAAGCTTGAATCTTGAAATTTTGGGTAATGGTCACTCTTGCTCCGATGGGGTCAGATAAGTCTGGGTTTTTGGAAATTCGTACTAGAACGGTACGAAAAGTACTAAGAGGTACTAAGTATGATACCCTTTGTATTTGACGAACCAGTAGAGCTAAAACTCTTAAATTCGGAATAAGGATCACTGATGGAGTGAATGATGGATGTACCAAAGGGATTTTGGATATTCGCACTATAAGTGTACGAAAATGTACTATATTTGGTACGATATCGTATTATGTGAACGGTTAGAGATAAAAACTTGAAATTTGGAATGGGAATCAAGTTTGAGGAGTAGAGTCGATGTAAGGAGGTCGTTTTGGAAGTGTCTACTCTTATATACGAAAAATACTAAACGGTACTACATTTAGTACAATTTGAATTTGGAGGAACGGACGGCGCTGGAATCCTGATGTTTGAAATGAATATTACTCGCGGAGTGTAGGACTGGGATATGGAAGAAGTTTTCAAAATTTGTACTTATGTGATCGAAAAGTACTATATGGTACTAAATTTTGTAAAACATGGATTTTGGTGAAGAGATAGAGATAGGATCTGAAATTTAGAAATAAGATTAGTATTACATTCGGGGACTGAGGAATGTTGGTAGATTTGGAAATTCGTACTTATTTGTACTAAATGGTACGAAATTTGGTACAATTTAAATTTTGAGAGAGTTAACAGGGTTGGAATACTGAAATTTGCAAATTAGATTAGTTTTGCATTGTAGGACTGAGGATGTAGGTAGGTTTGTAAATTCGTACTTATTTGTACTAAATTTGGTACAATTTGGATATGTGTGAACCGGTCATTGTTGTGTTTTTGGGTTTACATATGGAGACGTTGAAATAGTTTTGATGAAAAAAATGGGTTATGGGTCCATTCTGCAATGTTTTGACTACTTTCCTCCTGGGTCAACATTAAAATGAAAGATTTTGAAGACTTTTTGGTGAAAAAGATAAGGATGTTCCTTTTATTCTTTCCAAAAAGGAAAAACTTGAATAATATGTAAAGATGCAATATTAAGAGAGGTTAAATAAATAATAATAGTATGAAACTAGCCTCATCATTGCAATCTCATGAAACATGAGATTTTGAGTTTTTGTCTGTCAGTCTATGATTTTATTTCTTATTTGTCTGTTTATGTAATTTTTGGGCCCACAGACTACATTTTTCTAGATACTACTTGTAAATATATGTATAGAATGAAAACAAATCTCGAAACAAAAAACAAATATTCCTCATAGAGCGACTTGGCTTCTGAAAAATACCCATTTTGAACTCAAAATCTGGCAGCGCTTTATTGCCATCCAACGAAATTCACTCGTTCACTCATTTCACCAAAGAGACATTTCCCAATTGCTTGAGTGTTAAATGTGAGCAGATGGGATTTTTGCCTTCATCGACGACGGCATATTGAAGTGTGTATTGGTGTACTTCAGCAAACCACCACCATCAGCAAACTGCCACCGATAGGAGCACCATCATCCATCATGCTCCACTCATACCACTGATACTTATCACACATTAAAAGAGGATTAACTCGTTTCACTCTCCATAGCTCGGCAGAATGTCGCATAAGTACTCGTCTTTGCGATGTTTGTCGTGGTATGTGTGCATGTTTATGTCCATGTTGTTGTTGTTGTTGCTGTGTAAGTAAAACGCCACCTAAAGCTTGGGCAAATTACATGCGAATATTCAGATGCGAATCAGTTGAAAAGTTACGGTTAATACGTAATCGTTAATAAAACACACACGTCGAATGCGACCAAGCCCGACAATGATTATCTGTCGCTCATCGTCGTTTTATTGCAAATTAGTGCGGGTTAACTAATTTTTACAACCCACAGTTAACGATCGAATTTAATATTTGTCATAAATGTCAAAAAGAAATTAAAAAATGTTGTTCAAATTATTTGTTTTATTCGCATTTAAGAATTCCATACTAACGATTCTAAATTACACCACGAAATTGCCGTCGGTTTAGAAAGTGTTGTGCATGAATACCCTTTGCCCTTGTTTTTTTGCCGCAAAAGTCTGTTGAAAATGCTATTTATTAGCTATTAAGCGACTATAAAAGCAATAAAATGCTAACACAAATTAATCCAAACAAATATAAACATTTAAATTATTGTGACCATAAAATTGGTGACATGCATGTCCATGCCGAACGTAATTCGAACGAATAATAATACCAAAATAAAACACAACTAGCAACAGTTCGAAACAGCTGTCAACACGGGTGTCGAATTTACGAATTGGCTGTTTGACTAAATTGGATTTAATTGCCATTAATTTATGCTAATAAAGAACTACCGCAGTGGCAAATGTGTCAATTTTCAAAGCAATGAGACGTGGAAAATTGCAACAACTACAGAATGGATCGGAAAATAAAAATTTGGGATCATATGTGTCTGAAGTGTGAATAACTTTGATATTTTTTTTTAAATATTTTGTGTCAAACAACTTCCCAAATATGATGGAAATATATTAGAATTGTGTTCAAATGTTTCATCAAAGAATTTAAGAAAAATAAGTGTTAAAGGTTGTTTTAGAAGCGAGCTTTTCAATCATTTCTATTAGAAGGACGTAACGGTAAAATATTATGCAACGGTCATACTATGTTGTATAATGTACCGTGCTACCAAAATTATTCAACGCTGGATTACTACAAGGTAAGGTCTAAAAAGGTTATAACCTCATTGACAAGACATAATTTGTTGAATTTCTCATAAATTTCAAGTCAGAGTTTGTTTATCGCAGCGGCTTGAGGAAAATGAACCAAAATTATAATGGGTCCAAAAATCGAATGTAGCTTCGGCTGTGTGGCACTTGGCGCCGTCCTGTTGAAATCAAACGTAGTCAATATCCTCCTCTTCAATATTTGTGAACAAAAATTCGTTCAACATGGCCCGAGGGAAAAATGGCCCAATTTGCCTCTGGATCAAAATTCTCACCAAACAGTGTCTCGTTTGGGGTACATAGGCTTTTTAAAATATTCTGCTTGTTTATACAGGGATCTTCTTCATGTCCGTACGCAATTTTTGCACAAATTCTGCAACATTACCAGGATTTTCCAAGTAGTGTCGCAATACTTCAAAGTGTTGTTCAAGCGTGTACACAACCATATTCGTTCAACAGGAGTATAAAACTAATTACCTCCTCTATCAGAAATGGCTATGTGCATGAAATAAGTAAATGATGGAAAAAGTAGATTGTTTGGAACTGTACAGCCCACTTTTCATTTTCTTTGAATTAAAAAAAAAAACATTAAAATGGTTTGGGCCTTGAAAATTTTGATTCGTTGTAAGCCAAAGGAGCTGTATTATAATTTACTAAAATATCCAAAATGCCAAATTACCCTGTGTTGGCAACAATGTCATTCTGGGAGTGGCAACTGAACACAGTGGCTAGATTAGATTGTCTGGCTGGCTGGTGCGCACGATAACTCTCAACAGGGTCCAAACTTGGTACATCGTTATGTTATTATCAAACTTAGATCGAGTTCGGAATACTTCGGTCAACTATATCTGGCACATTTTAATATTTTCTAAAATTATCACATATCTCATATAAATTGAAGGAAGCTGTTGAGTCGTGAAAAACCTGGCACGTCCCAATATTTATATCATATTTATTTGGCTCCAGTACCTAATTGACAATATTGGCCCTTTCCTTCGGAACCTACTCCAATTTAAATAATCATAACAGAAGTCAAAATATATTTTAATAATCGAATATTGGCTGAGGGCATATATCTGTCGGCAAAACCGGCTGATACTTTTTAACTTTTTAACAACCACTGTAACTTTTTAAACTATTGTTATAATGAATTCTCTTTTCTTACATATGTAATACTTTTTTATAAACGCTTTGATACACATTGCTTAGTTCCATTTACGTGCACAATAACGCCGATAAATTTAACATTATTTTCAGTCAGTAAAGAGCAAAATGGATCCATATGGCTTTTTGCAGAGATTTTAACAACCAAATTTAAAAAAGGCTTCAGCAAACCCGAAATTACAATAAAATAGTCTAGTAAACAGCAACCTGATATTAACCATTTTTGTATGGAGTATTTAATTGTGAAACCGAAATATAATTTAACTCCATTTCGTCTCAAAAATTTTTACTTTGCGGGTATTAGACAAATATTTACCGAGTAATACGGCGGAGCTTGTAATTCTCATAATTAAATTCTCGATTACATTATGCAGTGATATTCTTCCTTTATCATTATTTCTGATATCTGAATATTTAAAATTATGGAACGTAGCCGATTCAACTATATCCCTAATTGAATTTCACAAATTGTTGAGGCATTTTGAACAAAATATACATTTAAAATACCCATTCAATACTTCTTAGCATTCACATATAAGATTCGTTTTACTTGGGATTCCCTTCTAAAATAATTGCTGAGATTCGCTAAACACCCCTCCCCTGTAATTGAAATATAAATGTACATTCTTTGGATACGACGATGACTGCTTCTGGTCAATGACGAAGTCGTATAGTGTGTACCGATCGACTAGATACATCAACATCATTATCCAATTTTTTTGTTTTGCGCGTGCAACCCAGCAACGAGATGAGCAACTGCAGGCAAAAATGAAAATTGTTCCACAAACAAAATAAAGTAATTTTTGCGTTCTTGAAATGGCTCAGATTACAGACAAAATCAACAACAATGATAATAGCAAGCAGAGCATAGAAAAAAGGTGGCAGTCAGTGGTGGCGGTGCCAGTTGATGCATAGCCAGCCAGGCAGCCTGGCATCAGAATCGGAATCGACATCGGCATCAGAGTCATCGTCATCAGCATCAGCATTGACAACGCAAATGATGAAAATGGTGGTTGCCCTGAGAGATGACAGTTGGTGGAAATGTTCGCTCGTTTTCGTACAAATCCGCATATCTACGCACTCCTGTCGTCATTGGCAACAGTGTTGTTGTTGTTGTTCTTGTTATTATTATTGTCGAGTACTCAACAAATAATAAATGGAATTTACGAAAGGAGCAACTAAAAGAGCAGAAACGAAAAAGAGAATAGAAAGGAGCTACCGAAAGCTGTGTTTGAGTTGGGGTAAAGCGTTAAGGCTTTTAAATGGTTTTCACAGGAATGGAAAACAAAACAAACAATTATAAAACAAAGCAAACAACTCAAACTCATGTTGCCAAGTCCTGAGAATTGTGGAGGCGGAGTCGGAGATTTTTCGAAGACATGACAAACAAAGGCAAGACACCTGTATTTGAACAGTTAAAAGTCTCCGTTTAGAGAAATAATGCACTAAAAATATAGTCCCTTGGGGATGATGATCGCAGAGGAAAAACTGCTGCCTGAGTGCTGAGCATTTCAACTTCATATTTTTGATCTATTTGACAAATTGACAGGGAGATGACATCGAAAAGCAATTTGAAGATCGTAATGACCGATATTAGTACTGGTAGTTCAAGTTGATGGCAGAAATTGCTCCATTATGAATTGTTGTCATCGGGAAATCAACAATGTCTCCGAAATCCATTGTCTGGACAAAAAGAAATCGTTACCGTTTTTTTTTTCAGTTTCGTTTCAAAGGACCTGACCCAGCAGAAACGACGAACAAAAAGATTCACTAGAATCCAGAAACAATTTCAAATGAATTAAACCACAATTGTTGAAGGAAGAGACAACATCACAACTCGCAAGACAAAGCAAGACAGCCGACATGAAAGGATCAGGCCTGTCAAGAAATCCTTTGTACTGGCATTTATTTTGGGTAGAGTTTTTCCACAAATTATCTTTAGAATTTCGTATGCCTTCTGTTTTAGAGTTTGGCCTCATTATCAGCTTTGCTTTCAACATAAAAATTAATACGAAATAATCGTCCAAAAGGAATCTTCACTTTCGGAAGATAGAATTGTTGCCCTTTTGTTGGGGTTTTTAGGAAAATCCTTAAAAATCAAAGGTCAATCCAGAATTGTTGTGTGCGTGTGTGGTAGCAGTGTTTCTTCTAAATGTTAATATTTAATATGCACAGAGAATAGAGATTTCCAACCTACAAAGAGGTACCTGATCATAATTATGAACAGTAGCCAAATATTGCATACAGTGGCCGACTAATCCTAATCGCCTGAAAATTACTTTGGAGTGATCATGGCTGACAGATAAGGAATTCGATCGACCCTGTGCAGTTGTTGGAAAGTCAAGATATTTGCATTGGGAGGTTTTATTTTACCACAACATAAATTATAGCAACAATTAAATCTTACAGATATATTCGAAACAAAAATCAAAAGTCAGCATTAAACTTCTAAGGATTTGCTGTAGATATACAATGTAGATAGCAAAATCATCTTGACGTAACTTCAAGAGACAGGAAAAGACCAGTAAAGATATATTAATCTTATTCATATCTACAAAGTCTAACGTTTTATCATCCGCCAATAATAAGGATATGAGTACCTTGAAGGAATTGGATCGCTCTGTTCCTGTATATTTGGACAAACCGAGTTTTCTTTTTTATAATGTATAGAATAAATTTTAATTATTCCGAGATATTTTTTTTTAATTTACTAAAAACGTTTTCTGATTTAACTGCTTCACGATATATGACTTCCTTCGACCTATTACAGATAGGGAACAACTTTTGGCTAATTGGAAATTTTGCCACCAGTCCTAAAATTATCATGACGTTTTTACTGTCACTGCCAATAGAGTGAAATAAATGTAATGATCATGATTTTATTTGCAAATGTCAGATCTAATGCTGAATGAATCTCATATCAGAATATATCTTTGTTTTCATGCCAATGATGCATCAATGAGATGAAATTCCGGCTCATGAAAAAATTGATTAAGATCGGCTTCGGTATAGCTATAGCTTCCATATTCACGTTTCACCTAATTAAACATTTAAGGCTTTTCAAAGACATAATATGCGACCGATACCAATGAAATATCACATCTAACCTAGTTTGAATGAAATCGATTTGATATTTCGGCTTCTCAAAGCTGTAATACGTGTCTGATATCAATTTTATTAGGTACGATACATCATATGCAGCCTGTAAGTACCGCTCTCAAAAATAAGTTTAAATTACTTTAGATACAACTCCCATGTATGTGTTTGGGTGGATATTTAAATGTAGCTCCAATATGTACGATTCTTCCGAATTCTCATTTTTATACCCTCAGCCATATATCTACATATCATTTGATACGGCCAAAACGTGCCTCACTTAAATAACGGACAATATTGGTTCACTACATCAAGTACCTCCCCAGAAAGGTTCAACATTTTGAATAATTATAACTCTTATAAAATGTGATGTAAGAGTCTGATTGCCTTCATTCACACATCCCAATAGATTTATTAACCCAAGGTATGGTACCTCCCCACAAGGTGTCAAAATTTTTAATATCCATGAAGGTCATGAAACGCGATTCCATTTAAACTTGGCACAACGGGATAGTTCTTTCAGCACAGGATCTGTTATAAAGATGGTAGAGATCCGACCGTTTTTTTTGTTCCCCCCAAATGGCCAAAATTTTTAATAACCAAACCGATCACAAAATATGAAATAAGCCTCCGGTGTATTTATATTACACACATCTCGTTAATTCTACTAACTTAAGATATGATGTGAAGATGGGATATGTCGGCCCATCCTTTCTGGTACCTTCCCCACAAA